ATTATTTCACCGTTATAAATTGAAGTAAACACCTAATACGTATAAATTTCTAACGGAGATAATCTATATCTGGAGTAGGGCCAGCTCGGCACCTTATCAGCTCCAAAGTGATAAGCGAAATGGAGAACAAGAAAAGGAAATAATAAATGGGGATTTGATAGACAATGACAATTACACTTGTTAATAACTAGAACAAGATAGGAGAGAATTATAGATAAGAGCAAAGACATTTCGTGTTGAGCTCTCTAACTAGAACTAGGATTTTTGTTAATTAAAAAACAACTTAGAAAAATGAATTGAATTGAAAAATCGAGGAATTGTTCAATAGTAAAGTTGTTATCTTGTATGCAATATTCGATTTTTATTAAATTGAGTGAATAGTATGCTATTAGTACATTTACGTGTCGTTTGATTGAAAAGAAATTATCCTATGATTAATTATCACAAGATTAGTTATTTCAACTTTTTATGGGGATAAAAAAATACTACAATAATTGGGCTCAAACACAATGGATTTTGATATGTACTTTGTTTATGAACTTGAATATATATGTTTACCCTTAAAAACAGATAACAATTGGATTTATACGCGATTTTAAGAATATGTGGATTAATTCAATATAAGTGATCAACGATGTTAGATTAAGCAACTAAAAGACGTAATAAATGGTCAAACCAATGATAAGAGTGAGTCTGAGCTTTGTTAATGGCTTAACGAGGAACGTGCCTTCAGTTCCGCTTGCACTTATGAAGAACTTATGAACAAAAATAAGAACTTTAAATAACTTTTAGAAACAAAGAGAATAGAAGTGTATTGCCTTGGTATCCATGTTATAATATGTCCAATAAATAATTAGTTTCTCCTTTATATAGTAGGAAAGTTTTACCCTAAGTATAATTCTAAAAAGGTACAAATCTTCTTTTTTCGCTAATCACTGATTTTCTGCTGATACGGGCTGAGATTCACGTCGTGATATCCAATTGGGTACGGATATCACGGCCCTTTGTTAGTCGTGTGCAGTGTTTGGTAATGTTCTCCGAAGTCTTGGGACCCGAACCGAACCTGGGGGACGTGGTCCCGATGGCTTCGAGGGTAGGTGTTTTGCTCGAGACCTGATACGAGAAGCTCCTGGTTTTGATTTCGATTCCTTACAGTCACGTCCTTTCTCCGTTTGCCTCACCGGGAAATCGGGGTGCTTGTTGGACACGATTTTACCCGTATACAGATAGTCCTCTCGTTTCTTAGAAAGTAGGTTTGCCGAAACGATGGTAGACGACATATGTTCTCTGGTTCCTTCCTTCGTACGTTACGACGAAGGAGCCGAAACGTCCCATCAGCCGCGTTATTCTGACTTCGAACACGTGTCGCTCATTGGCTGGTTACCTCCGAATGCGAAGCGTCGCTTGTTTCCCTATAAAAGCTTTCATCCTTTGTTCTTTTTTTACTTTTCGACCAAGCTATTACATTCGAGCTTTCCAGCTATCATCAAACCTCTTTCAAAACTTCATATCCTCATCTTTGTTCTTCAATTTTCATAGTGATTTCTAGGTTTCTACCCAGATTTCCTTCAAACCTTCATACTCTGTTCATCATCTCCAAAACTTGTTCTTTCAAAACTTCGCATTCTTTCTTCAAATTTTCAAATCTCCCAGATAACAATGGCTAAAACATCAAATTTTGTTCCTCAACAAGTTGCCTTTTCATCTTCCCAACCGGTCGTCGGTACTGAGGCGGTTGCCCCTGAAGTAGTTTTTTTCGAAAAGGCTTTCCCCAAGGTGGCTCTTGATGAACCAGTCCCCGAGCCTCCCTTGAAAGTGTTTATTCCCCAGGATGCTCAATTGCATACGACTTTAAGGTCGAGAAACCTTCATGCAAAAAGGACCGGGTGAAGGAGCATCAAGGTACATATGCTCCGTGACCGAAGACTTTCTTCCCATGGTCCGAAAGGACTGCAATTAGGAATAGGGATGCTTATCGGGCGGATCGGGAGGCTAATTACGCTTAACAGTTCGGCTTAACGGTTATCAGATTATAAATGTAGTAATCTGCTAGTCATCCAATAAGACAACGGGCGAATTGATATCGGATTAACAATTATCGGGCGGCTTATCGGCTAAACCAAATAGAAATTTTTTGAACAATCATTCAATCAATACCAAGCAGTTTCAAATCAATACCAAATTTTTAATACCATCTAAAATCTAACCAAATGGTATTTTTTAATTGAAGAGTCTTTAAGACTGCTCATACTGTCATACACGTATTAACCATATTTTTAATACCATCAAGACTACTCATGCAGACATACACATATTAATCATTGAGATTTCAATTTTTCGACTTCTCAGTTTTCAGTTCAAGAGAGAGACGAGACTGACGACTTCTCTACCTCTGGTGGCTGCAGAAAATTGAGAATTAGAAAATAGAAATTAGGGATTAAGCCATTTAGGGTTTTAATAGTACTTTATATACATAGGGGTAAAAGTATAAATATAAAAAATTTTAACGGGTTAACGGTTTACCCGATAAGAGAATTGAGTAATCCGCCCCCAAACCGTTAAGTCGTTAATTATAAAATCTCAATCCGTTCACCATCCATTACCCCGATAATCCGATACCAATAAGCCAATAAGCTATCGGTTCGGTTCGGTTAACGGTTTCGGTTCAGTTTTGAACAGTCCTAATTGGGAAGGCAAGGATGTAGCAGTCCCGATTACTGTAGCCTCGATCATTCCTTTTTTCGTTTCTCGCAGGGTTACGCCCAGAACCGTTACCCTTTCGGTCTCCATTATACGGTTGATACTGATCTATGTTCAGTCTCGGTTTGTGATCAACAATTCTCTTAGACCTGTCATTAGTTCTAACGGGATAAACGGACCCGGTGGGCCCCCTAAGTTGATTGTCCTCGACTCTGATTTTTGATTGGTACATGTTATGGACATCGGCCCAAGTTACCGCCGAGTATTCTATCAAATTTTGTTTCAACTATTGTGAAGCCAAAGAGCGTCAGGGGTTGAGCCCTAAGGTGAATGCCTGAACGGACCAATCGTCCGCGACCGGAGGCAGATCCATTCTTTCCATTTGAAACCTCGACACAAATTCCCTCAATATTTCGTTCTCCCTTTGTTTTACTTTGAAAATATCCGATTTTCTGGTCTCAATCTTGATGGCCCCGACGTGCGCTTTTACAAAGGCATCTGCAAGCATAGCAAACGAATCAATAATATTAGGGGGTATGTTGTGATCCCATATTATTGCTCCATTTGATAGGGTTTCTCTCAACTTTTTCAGCAAGACCGACTCGATTTTATCATCCTCTAAGTCGTTTGCCTTGATGGCACACGTGTAGGAGGTCACGTCTTCGTTTGGATCCGTGGTTCCATTATACTTCAAAATTTCGGGCATACGAAACTTTTTCGGTATTGTCTTTGGGTCTGCGCTGGGGGGAAAGGCTTTTGGACAAATATCTTGGAGTCCAATCCTTTCAATATCAGGGGCGTTCATGAGATTTGATCAACTCTAGAGTTATAGGTTTCTACTTTTTTGTCATTAGCCTCAATTTTCTTTTTCCTGATTTCACCCGCTTTGTCAGCTCCTCGATCATCTTAATGTTTTCGAGGTTGGGCCTGGGCTCAGCTTCACCCGGTCTCTCCATGACTTGCTCATTTCTTCAGGTGTTTTCCCGGGATTGTTCGGGCTCAACTCTGTTGGGCGTGCGCGGCTTTGGTTCTGTAGTTGTGCTATTGCCGCTTGTTGAGCTTGTAACGTTTTGAAGATCACCCACAAATTAAGCTCGCTGCCTTCACCTTCTGGCATAGCTCCAGTGGTTGGTCGGGCTCCCCCGCGAATGCTGCTCTCAGGGTTGGTTGGAAGGTTGGCGTCGATGGCCACATGCGAGTTGCCATCGATTGGGTCTGCGACTCGGGCTCCGTTGGGATCAGCAGGAGGTACCTCGTTGTTAGGTGCTACATTATTATTTTCGCTATGATGGCCAGACTCAATATCAACGTTGAAGTGAGCAGACTGAGAGTTCGACATCCTTGGGTAGATCTGAAATTAAAATCTTAAAGAACAAGCGTAAAATATAGTGTGTTATGGAAATTTGTATCAAACTACCACTATTATCCTTAGCCCCACGATGGACGCCAAACTGTTTACCATTAAAAATGGATAACAATTGAATTTATACTCAGTTTTAAGGATACGCGAATTAATTCAATACAAGTGATCAACGACGTTAGATTAAGCAAATAAAAGACATAATAAATGGTGAGACCAATGATAAGAGTGAGTCTGAGCTCTGTTAATGGCTTAACAAAGAACCTGCCTTCAGTTCCGAGCTTGCACTTATGAACAAAAATAAGAACTTTGAATAAATTTTGGAAACAACGAGAATAGAAGTATATTGCCTTGGTATCCGTGTTATAATATATCCAATGAATAATAAGTTTACCCTTTATATAGTAGGAGAGTTTACTCTAAGTACAATTCTAAGAAAAATAAAAATCTTCTTTTTCGCTAATTACAAATTTTCTGCTGATACGGGTCGAGATTCACATCGTGATATCCGATTGGGCACGGATATCACGGCTCTTTGTTATCTTGTGCGATCGTTTGGTAATGTTCTTCGAAGTCTTGGGGCCCGAACCGGACCTAGGGGACGTGGTCCCGATGGCTCCGAAAGTAGGTGTTTTGCTCGGGCCCTAATACAAGAGGCTCCTGATTTTGATTCTGATTCCTCACAGTCACATCCCTGCTCCGTTTGCCTCATCGAGAAACCGGGGTGCTCGTTGGACTCGATTTTACCAATACACAATATACAATATCAACACTTTATTTTTCGCAACTATTTATTATATCTTCTTGATAACTTAAAGAAGATAGTTGTGTTTTAGACAAATTGGTCCACTTAGGCCTCATTTGTTTGCACTTAATGAGGGTCTGAATCTGTATCAATCAAATCTCAGCCCATTAAGTGTATTTGTTTTTTTATTTTTAAAAAATCTGAATAGGTCTAATTGGGTCTGTTTCGGTTAGACCTTTAATTGAGTCTTAATTTCGTTCAGAGGCTAAAAATACAGAAAATACACGCCTCTTTTTTTCGGTGCTCCTTTTCTCTCTCTTGAAATCAGGCTATTTCTTCTAAACCCAAAACAACTTTCATCCTTCACGTGTCTCTCTCTTCAACGATCAAGCAGCCGCCGAATCTTTTTCTTGGTAAGATTTTTAAAATTCTACTTGGAATTCTCCATCTTGTTTCTACTTTTCTAATGGTAAATTTCAGTTTCGAGTTTAGGGTTTAAAAATACCCCTTTTAAAATACGTTTGACTTGTGGCAAAAATAGAAAGATGTATTAATAAAAATTATGGGTATGGATGGGATGGGTAAATCCCAATACAAAGAAAAGCATTGTTGTCCTTGGCTTCGTTCTGTTTGGGTTTGTTGGAATTTTGTTTGATGAGGAGTGGTGGAATCTTTGCATATATATGGTCTGTATTAAATTTTTAGGCTTCAATTCTTCTTTTCACTAAAGCAAAACTTTGTATGTATATATGGTCTTTACTTATGTTAATGCTGGATGGGAAGGGGTAGCACATGATGCACGTGTTCTAACGAAAATTATATCCAATCCATAAAATGGCTTTCTATTCCCCCAGCTAGTAAGTGATACAACTTAAGCAATTGAAATAATATTTTAACTTTTCAATATGATCACGTAACTCTTTTTTCTTAATGTCAGACAAATACTATATATGTGATGTGACATATCCTAACACTCGAGGATTTCTAGCACCATATCGTAATATTCGATATTGGTTAGGAGATTATCATCGCAGGCGTGCTATAACTAAGGAGAAAAAATTTAATCATACGCATACACAAATTAGAAATGTCATCGAGCGTGCTTATGGAGTGTTGAAAGCAAGATTCCCGATATTGGATAAGATGCCTCCATATCCTGTTGATATCCAAAGAGATGTTGTTATTGCATATTTTGTGGTTAATAATTTTATCAAAAAGGAGCGCATCAATGATGATTTGTTTAATCAGTTTGATTTGCCTCAAGTAATATTTGACGAAGAACAACAACATGAAGAAGTATAGGGTAAAACTTATGGACTTAGCTGGACAGTTGAAGATTCTCAGATGATGAATGATATGCGCGAGCAACTCGCACTCAAACTAGTACAAAGAAGAGGAAATACTTGAGAGTTTTTAATTTTTAGTTATTTAAAGTATTGTTTTTTCCGGTGTTTGAATGTTACAACTTGATCTGATTATCAATTAGTTCTTCAAATATTCTAATATTTGTGCATTTAAATTATAACTAGTTTTGAGTTTATTATTTTAATTTGTTGGATAAGTTTGATTAGAAGATAAATTTACGTTCAATATTTTTGTTTTGGTTACATTTCGTCACTACAATTGTTGTTATTGATATATAATTTTCATTTATAGTTCAAATAGTTTAACAATTGGATCAAACATAAAATATTGATTTATATCTTATAATATTTCAATTTATCTCAAATAATAACTTTTTTGTTCAAGTTAATATTTTCACTAATTGATACAGTATTTAATCACTTTTTTTTAAATGTATATTTTTTATGTTGAAATATAAATATATTATACGTATTCAGATATTGAAAAACAAACAATCTTAATTATTTAATGTTCAAATCTACATACCATATTTTAATATTCAGACGTGCATTCAGATTCATACGTGTTAATGTTAAAAAAATAAAAAACAAATGAGTCCTTAATTTGTTTACCTCCCTTGGATTGTCAACCAAACGAATTAGACCCGTGACAAAACGACAACTGGTTAACTAGAAGTTAGAACACGTCACTTGAATACTTTTTTCATTGATTTAATCATTTACTTTGACATGACACGAGACACCTCTTATTGTTTGTTTGGTTGGTGAATAAGAGAAAACAATCCCCGATAAAGTATTAATTAGTTATCACATACAGAAATAATTAATTAGTCCCGCAAACTATTTTGTACTAAAATAGTAGAATTAGTTATCACATAAATTTTTTAAAAAAAATATGTTTGTCCATAAACTTTGCAAGTTTTTGAATTTTTTTTAAAATTAGGTTTTAAAAAATCAAAAAGTGATTTTGATTACATTTTCAAAATTTTCAGAAAAAAAATTTTTCCACTCACAAAATTGCAATATTTTTTCAAGTGATAATTTTAAATTCCAAATATCATTTTTCAACTTAACTCCAAATATTATTTTTTTTCAAAAATTATTTTTAAGTCCAAACGCCTACCCAATGTCATAGAATATCCCAACCCTGTCTATTCCATCCCAGAGACCAAATGACCCCTTACAGTTTACATATGGCATAATATCATTTGATGTTATATTTGAATAGACACCCAATGTGTCATTTAACAAGTGACATGAGCTTGAATTTAAGGATGAAGTAACATCTTAAGGGGCCTAGGCCAATAAAATAAATTCATAAATGATTTGAACCAAAGAATCTTTTAAGTTGCGGTCTTATGGATCTAAATATTTTGGACCACAAACTTATTTCGGAGTAATATTTCTTGAGCTTAATTTTTGGAATCAAAATTTATATTAGTTTTATTAGATTATATTTAAATATTTACTGAATGATAAATCTTTTTTAATACTATGAGTACCTATGAATTAAATCATCTCAAGTGCCCGCCTAAAAGGCCATTCAACCTAAAAGTTTGACGCATTTGATTACAAAAGAGAAAAACCTAATATTATATACGCCGTATATATAGAGAGAAAAAGAAAAAGAAAAAGAGGAAGTCACGGTATTCCCGGATTTTTCTATTTCTCTTTCTAGAAATTTCACGCTTCTCCTGTAACCATTCTCTCTCTCTCTCTCTCTCTGCTCTGTTTTTTTCTCTATTTTTCTTTCGCAACAAAAATTCAAAGCAGAGACATTTAGTCTTTATTTCGCGGTTTTATGTTGGAGAATTTTCTGGCTTCAGAAAGTTTTCAGGATTCTAAGCTTTTGTCTGCTCTGTTTCTGGCCTTTCTGCATGCAATTGCATTCGTGAGTATCTTAACTTCCAAAACCCTGAATATTGCATTTTTTTTCCCCATTATTCTTATTGCCTTTTGTCTGTAAATCGTTTTGAAGTCTTGTAATTGAGTGGAAAATGATATAACTTTTTCGTGTTTGACAAAGAAAGTTCAGAAAACAAATGGAAACAAGCGGCGGTGAATTTTTAGGAACATGAACATTTTCATATAGTTTTGTCTTTGTTTTCTCTCCCTCTCGCGTGATATTAGGTTTTTCTTTGTTCTTTTTGCTTATCATTGCTGCGGAGAAATTTTTGATAAAACTAAAGTTAGAGAGAATTACACAGGATTTTCCATAAATGAAAGATTCTCGGTGAGAATTTGAAATTGGAAGAGAGGTGATCATTACTTGCTAATTTGACATAGAAAATCCAAAAACAAAAAAGGATACAAACAGTAGAAAATTATGGAAAATATGAAAATGTTATCTCTATTTGTTTTTGCATTTCAGTTCGTTAGATTGAACTGCGCAGACCTTTCAGAAAAGACTTTTTTCTTCGTTAAATTTGTCTCTAACAGAAGCTTTTTCAAAAAAAATTCTCTCTTTGTAATTATAGGTGGAAGGCACTGGAAGCTTTTCTCTTTGCATCGGTAAGAATCTATAATGTCATAGAAATGGTCTTGATTTCTGTTTGATGAAAGCTGCAGAAAATTTTCTGAAACACGAAGATTTTGTTTTTCCATTTACTGGTTTTTAATGGAAGTTGCTTACTTTTTTATGAAAGTTTTTTAGGCTTAAGATCAACTAATTGGAATCATGGCTTAGTTGGTGTTATTCCATACACATTAAGTTTGATGTTTCCCAGGAGTCCTATTAGAATATGTGTAGGTATAAGCATAAGAGTTGGAAACATCTCTATTGTCTTAAGAAATTATTTAATATTGAAATAATTGGCCTAAATTAAGTAAAAGAGGACCCTAATGTTGGGAATAAACCCGAAATAATATTCACAGTAATAAAAGCGGAATAATAACGTAGCACCGAGATACGGTAATTAACAAGAATAAAAGAGTGACAACGACACCAAGATTTTTACGTGGAAACCCTTTTGAATAAGGGAAAAAACCACGGCCCCGAGACGAGCAACTGATATCATTATAGCAGGGAATTTTACACTTTGTAGGTCCGAGTAAAATACTCCAAAGACCACTACAACACTCAAAAGAAATAACCCTCTTTTGATATTCCCACGTCACTACAATATCGTTCACTCTCTATCTTTCTCACAGACTATTTTCTTATACCCTGTCTGTGAAACCTCACTTTTTCTTTCTCTCTTTGTTGGTGTGTAGAAATGAGAGCTGGAGCTCTCCATTTATAGCCGAAGTCTTACTCTCTAAAGCCTACTATATTTGACAATTTGCACACACTTTTTATTCTTTTTCTTCAATGTTGACAATTCAACAAAGTTTGCTACCAAACCAAAGAAATTCAACAAAGTTGGCTCCAAATATTTTCTTTAGGCACATGCATATTACTTTGGCTTTTGAATGAGATGAATCCCATCAATCTACCCCTCCAGTCTCATTCATCTAAAGGAGGTAACACTGTCTTCTAGTTTGAGTGCATGCTGACAAGTTCTTTGCATAACTCGAACTTGTCTCTTGGTACCACCTTGGTCAACATATCAGCAGGATTTTCACTCGTGTGAATCTTTTTGACCTGTAAAGATTCGTTCTCCACCTGCTCATGAATCCAATGATATCTCGCATCTATATGCTTTGTTCTTGCATGGTACATGGAGTTCTTGCTCAAGTCTATTGCACTTTGACTGTCACAATAGACGACATACTCCTTTTGATGCAATTCTAGCTCTTGAAGAAACCGCTTGAGCCATACCATCTCCTTGCCAGCTTTTGTAGCGGCAATGTACTCTGCTTCAGTTGTTGAAAGTGCAACACACTTCTGCAATTTAGACTGACATGATATGGCTCCCCCTGAAAAAGTAAATAGATATCCAGTAGCGGATTTTCTATTATCAGTATCACCGGCCATATCAGCATCCATGTAGCCCTTCAAGATTGGATCAGATCCTCCAAAACACAAGCAATCTCCTACAGTACCTCTTAGGTACTTGAGTATCCACTTGACTGCTTGCCAATGTTCCTTTCTAGGATTTTCAAGGAATCTGCTAACAACACCAACTGCATGAGCAATATCAGGTCTGGTGCATACCATTGCATACATCAAGCTTCCGACTGCTGAAGAATAAGGAACTCTAACCATGTTCCCTTTCTCCTCCACTGTTGTAGGGCACATCTTCTTGCTCAACTTTAGATAGTAGCAAGAGGTGTGCTGACTAGCTTAGCATTCTTCATGTTAAAGCGTTTCAGTACACCTTCAATGTACTTTTCCTGAGACAGCCACAACTTTCTGCTTGTTCGCTCTCGAACTATCTTCATACCTAGAATTTGTTGTGTTGGGCCCAAGTCCTTCATATCAAATGACTTGGACAAATCTCCCTTCAACTTTGCGATCAACCCCTTTTCTTTTCCTACAATTAACATGTCATCCACGTACAACAGCAATATAATAAAGTTATTCTCAGAAAATCTTTTGAAGTATACACATGGATCAGAATATGTCTTTGTGTAAGTTTGACTTTTCATGAATGAGTCAAACTTCTTGTACCACTGCCTTGGTTCCTTCTTCAATCCATAAAGACTCTTATTCAATTTGCACACCATGTGTTTCTTTTCAGCTACTTCAAATCCTTCTGGCTGCTCCATATAAATCTCCTCTTCCAAATCTCCATGAAGAAATGCAGTTTTCACATCCAACTGCTCCACTTAAAGATCTAGGCTAGCTGCTAAGCTCAAAATTGTTCGAATAGAAGTCATTTTGACAACAGGTGAGAAAATTTTGTCAAAATCAATACCTTTTTTCTGTTCGAAGCCTTTAATCACCAATCGAACTTTGTATCTGACCAGCTTGCCATTTCCATCTTTCTTGAGTTTAAAGACCCACTTACATTTGAGTGGTCTTTTACCCTTTGGAAGTTCAACCAGCTTGTGCGTGCCATTTTTCTGCAGAGATTCCATCTCTTCTTGCATGGCTTCCATCCACTGGTTTTTTTCTGTATGGGACAACACCTCTTTTAGACTTTCTGCCCCACCCCCCCTCCATTAGTGATGAGGACATACTCTGTGGCAGGGTACCGACTCTACCCTTGGCCTTTCTTATCTCCTCAGAGGTTGAGGTTGTTCTTCTCCCTGAATGGGGTGCTTCACTTGCTCGACATCATCATCAAGTTGATCCCCCTGCTCAATAACCTCATCAGGTTGCTCCCCCTGCTTGGCAACCTCGTCGGTCCTACTTTCTGCACGTGTGGGATTGTTAGAAGTAGAAGGAATAGTAACAAGGTTAGGAATTATACCATTCTTTGCTTTCTCTGGCATATCATCAGCAGTTCCAACTTCACTTTCTCGGAAGACCACATCTCTGCTTCTGATGACCTTCTTCTTTACAGGATCCCACAATCTGTATCCGAACTCTTCATATCCATATCCGATGAATATGCAGGGAACAAATTTATCATCCAGCTTTGTTCTCTGCTCCTTTGGTACATGTGAAAATACTCTGCAACCGAACACCTTCAGATGCGAGTAGGACACCTCCTTGTTGGTCCAAACACTCTTTGGGATGTCAAAGGCCAACAAAACTGATGGACTCCTATTGATCAGGTAACATGATGTCTAAACTGCCCAGAATGACTTAGGCGGTTTAGCCATTCTGATCATGCTTCTCACCTTCTCCACAATGGTGCAGTTCATCCTTTCGGCTACGCCATTGTGTTGTGGGGTTGCAGGAACTGTCTTTTCATGTCTGATCCCATGGCTCGAACAGTACTCTTCAAATTCCCTTGAAGTGTACTCACCTCCATTGTCACTTCGGAGACACTTTAGCTTTTGGTCTGTCTCCCTTTCCACCAGAGCATGAAACTTCTTGAAAACATGAAGCACCTGATCTTTGGTTTTCAAAATATAAACCCATATTTAATTTTCTTTCAGACGATGTCTGAAATGAGACTTTATGCTACTTACCAAATAAACAGAAGTCACAAGGTTTTACCGTTGTACCTTTGGCATAAGAAATGAGTGATTTCTTGGCAAGAATCTGCAATCCCTTCTCGCTCATATGACCCATTCTTTTGTGCCACAAATCTGCAAAAATTTCATCTTGTGCTGTGTTCAATTCACCTTGGCATATTTTTGCATTTGTCTTGTGTAACGTGCCACGAGCTAACTCCCTTTGCAATCACCAATGATCCCTTGGTGAGTCTCCGCTTTTGATTTGCAAAATAGTTCTCGTATCCATCTCGGTCTAAAGCAATTCCCGAGATCAAGTTCATCCGCAAATCAGGTATATGTCGCACGTCCTTTAGAACCAATGTGCATCCGACATTTGTCTTGATACAAATGTCACCGATCCCTGCAATCTTTGAGTAACTTGTGTTACCCATTCTCACAGTGCCGAAATCACCGGCTACATATCTACAAAAAAGACCTCTTACCGGTGTGGCATGGTAAGATGTTGTATCAACCACCCATTCCGACTCTGGACCTGACAGGTGCATGCATTCCTTTTCCTCATTTATAAAGAGGACAACATTATTATTGTTTTGCACCAAGGCGGTTGTATTGTCATCATTCTTCTTGCCACTGCTTTCACCTTTTCCCTTCCTTGGATTTGGGCAATCTCCTTTGAAGTGACATGGTTGATCACAATTGTAGCAATTTCTGGCTTTTGATTTGGATTGGTTCTTAGACTTCCCACGAGCTCCGGATCTACCATAGTTGCTCGAACTCCTTTGATAACTCCTGCCTCTGCCTTCTATGATGACAGCATGTTCTTGATTTTCAGGCTTCTTTCTCATCTTCTCATTGAGTAGAAGAGCCGATGTGAGATCTTTCAACTCAATGGTAGTCTTACCGTGCAGGATGGTTGTTGCCAAATTATCGTATGAAGATGGAAATGAGTTCAATAGCAAGATTGTTTTATCTTCTTCTTCGATTTTCACTCCGAGATTGTCGAGTTGTGTGATTAGTCCGTTAAACACATTTAAAGGTGACAAAAAATTCATACCTTTACCCATGTGTAGGACGTGTAGCTGCTTCTTCAGGTATAATTTATTTGTCATCGTTTTGAACATGTATAGGCTTTCCAACCTTGTCCAAATGCCACATGCGGTGTCTTCATCAATGATGTTATTTACCACATCATCTGATAAGTGCAACCTGATTGCACTAGCAGCCTTTTCATCCAAGTCAGCCAAATCCTCAGCTTTCATGGTATTAGGCTTTTTGGCAACAACATCTAGTACTTTGTGTAAACCTTGTTGGATGAGCAGATCCCCCATCCTTCTTTGCCATGTTGAGAAACCGCTATCTCCGTTAAATTTTGCTACCTCGTACTTTACTCCAGACATTTTTGTTTTTCACCAAGTATAATACTACCGACAGTGAATAGTATTTTTGTGAACGAGCAGAACATGTGCTCTGATATCAGTTGCTGGGAATAAATCCCCTACAGAAATAATATTCACAGTAATAAAAGCGGAATAATAACGTAGCACCGAGATACAGCAATTAACAAGAATAAAAGAGTGACGACACCGAGATTTTTACATGGAAAACTTTTTTGAATAAGGCAAAAAAATCACGGCCCCGAGACGAGCAACTGATATCACTATAGCAAGGAATTTTACACTTTGTAGGTCCGAGTAAAATACTCCAAAGACCACTACAACACTCAAAAGAAATAACCCTCTTTTGATATTCCACCTCACTACAATATCGCTCACTCTCTATTTTTCTCACAGACTATTTTCTTATACCATGTCTGTGAAACATCACTATTTCTTTCTCTCTTTGTTGGTGTGTAGAATTGAGAGCTGAAACTCTCCTTTTATAGCCGAAGCCTCACTCTCTAAAGCCTACTATATTTGACAATTTGCACAAGACTTCTCATTCTTTTTTTTCAATGTTGACAATTCAACAAAGTTGGCTACCAAACCAAAGAAATTCAACAAAGTTGGCTGCCAAACCAAAGAAATTCTCAGTCAAATATTTTCCTTAGGCACATACCTATTACTTTGGCTTTTGAATGAGATGGACCCCATCACCTAACTAGTTCGGGACCGAGACATAACTGATTGATTGATTTAATTGATTTTTTGTGGAAGCCTTTGGATTGCATGGGTGAGATTTAGTTAGAAATGGAGAATGTTATAATTATATTTGTCTGGTTAATAATAATTATTCTCTTTTGCTCCCTTTGTTCAAAGTCATAATGTTTTGCTTGACTAATTAGATTTTGATTTATGTGGGACATTCTATTTCATTGCATACAGTAATATGCATAAGTTTTTGTTTTTATCTAGGACAGAGTAAGTACATGAAGGGAGCAAATTTTGATGAAACCTGGCTATGTTGAAGCATCTTGGTGAACTGGAGTGGTTGTAATAACTAGTAGAAAGTGGCACAAAGATGGCGTCTGAGCTGGCTTCTATGTTTCCAAAACTGGGCTCTCTTGGTACTTCAGATCATGGTTCTGTTGTATCCATCAACCTCTTTGTGGCACTCCTTTGCGCTTGCATTGTCATTGGTCATCTGCTGGAGGAGAACCGCTGGATAAATGAATCCATTACCGCCCTCATAATTGTGAGTGTAACTCCTTTTGTTCTACTTAGGGGTTTTCATGGGAAGACACGTAATGCAGATGGTGAAAAAATATCAAAAGTTGAAGTACCCGAGGGCGGAAGGGGGTTCGCTTCGCCGAAAAATTACACTGTATATATAAGGCAAAATATGTTTTTTACCTCTATATATTAAGTTTTGAACCCCCTTGACACAACCCAAAAGTGTAACTTCGTGGTTAGGGGGGTTCAAAATCTTTGAAAGCTTATAGGTTCAATTCCCGCTAGCTACAATTTGATTTTTTTGAACCCCCTTCGCGGAGATTCTGCCTCCGCCATTGCCCGTCTCGCCTTTGAATGTGTTTTTTCTTTTTTCTGTCTTTTGTTATCTTCCCTTCAAGCCTTTTTCTTTCATTTCTTTTGTTTCAATTCTTTGAATGGGGCTCAGAAATGTGATTCAAATTGGCAGTTTGTCAGCTTGTCATTTATTTTTCTTACATTCTCTGATTTGCTTATAATGCTTACAGTTATTTTCATGTTTGATAATTGCAGGGCTTGGGTGTAGGAGTTGTTATCTTGCTCATAAGTGGGGGAAAGAGCTCACATCTTCTGGTCTTCAGTGAAGATCTCTTTTTCATATATCTACTTCCTCCAATCATATTTAATGCAGGGTAAAAATGTCATTATCTTCTCTTTTACTGTTTTTTTGGGTGCTTCATTGGATGTTCCGAAGATGGTTTTTCAAGAGCTTTCTACTTCATATATTTTCTCACTTATTTAAGTTTGCCTTCTGGATGTCATTTGTCTACTGACAAGGAGTCATCAAAAATATTTGTGTTGTCTCACTGTTATGCAGTATGATCTGATGAGATATCTACCCAAATGGCTATCTTCGTCTATAAACAATAAGGAAGGATACCATTTAGGCCAGCTAAGTTATCAGAGTAAAGATATAAACAATGGCAATGCAGTGTAAACCAATACTAATATGGAGCCAGATTATTAGCAATAATGGAACCTTAAGCATTACTTGAATGGTGAGGAAGTTGAACACTGCTTCATTGGGTGAAGATGGTTGAATAATGGAACCAAGAACATTTGCAATTTGAAACATCGAAGCAGTTCCTGGAAATCATATAGGAGCTTGTTGATTTTCTGGGTAGTATGCATATCCTCGGGTCTTTATCCACTAAGCTATGGTCTCGTTTGATTATACTTAATGAAGCCAGGAGTGCTGTACCTAAGAAGTTTCCATTATTTTGTAGCAAGGACTACCCTGTCCGGTGCTGATAAGTCTTTGATCGTGACATGAAAAGATTTATTCTATGTCATTTTTAAAAATAAGTAAAGATAAGGGGCAAAAGCCCATAGCTGAGACAAGATAATCCTCTTGTCCTTTCATTTTGCATATCCAGGGATCGTGTCTGCAGTGTCCAATCTGTAGGTTATACTTGCAGCTTCTGGTTAATACGTAAATAAGAATAATCAGGAGGACAATTTCATCTTGTTCCATATCTCTGTTATTGATCTTTGATGTGCCTATATGGTGCGAGAATTGATCCAAAAAATTTGATCATTACATAATGTAACTCTTCTCTCTTACAGATTTCAGGTAAAAAAGAAGCAATTTTTCGTAAACTTCATTACTATAATGCTGTTCGGAGCCATTGGTACACTGATCTCATGTGCCATTATATCATTAGGTATTATTCGAAACATTGTTTCTATCACATGCTTCAACGTTATTGCAAAAGCTCATTTTGTTTATTGGTTAGATAGGTCCTCTGCTAGAGAATTATTCTGCAACTGTTTTATCTTGGTTAGTTGCCTTCTAGTTTAACTTTTATTTGCTTAAATTCTCTATCTACTTCAGTGAAAAAGGAGGACTCCATGTATGTTTGATTGGTACCTTGTCAATAGGTTGATGCTTCTTGTGGTTTTATCATAATAAATACTAAATGTACTTAGTTTCAAGAGTAAAAATTACTCCCAAGCCAAAATTTATGTTTTTTCAATCTGCTTTGAGATGCTCTCTCCATGTTGTACCTAATCTCTTCTTATTTCCCAAGGTCTTCCCTACGAGTCATGACCTGATGAGGGATGAAATTGTAATGAGTTTAATGATTTGTAGTGTCTTTTTTCTCTAAAACATGTTTGTCAATGTGCTTGTTCTTCAAGTGGAAATTTTTGCATAATTGATTTTCATATACTTTTCCACATATCAAGCCGCCTACATAGCATGCATGATGTCTTGTCCATGTGCTTGAAAGTGATGGTGAATAAACATTTATACTCCAGATGTTCTGATGGTAAGGGAGAAGAAGGTGATTTCAAGATGTCTCGAATTTGCTTACCTTCTTTCCATCAAGCAATGTTGCAAAGCTGCTCTATTCATAATGAGTGTGACTAGGGTAAATGTGTTTGATATCTGCAGTTCTAAGCATTTTAGTACATTCACATAGAGTTTTTGCCGCAGACACGCTACTGTATCCTTGTTTTTGGTAATGAAATCATCCCTGTTATATTGTAATCTTTGAATAGAATTTTGATACTGTAGTATGTGTTAGTTTCTCTCAAGCTTCGATAATTATTATTTTCTGATATTTTCTCTATGTCATGTGTGAAGGTGCCATTAAATTCTTCAAGAAGTTGGACATTGGATTTCTAGATATTGGGGATTATGTCGGTATTACTCGAATCATTGTTCTGTTTATTCTGTTGCTGGTTGCTTCTGTTTCTACCTTTGACTGCTCTTATTCTTTCTCTCTTGATTTTGTTAGCAATTGGAGCAATATTTGCTGCCACAGACTCCGTCTGCACGTTGCAGGTACAGATGCAGTGACCTCAACATATGCTAATGACCCAATAGAATGCCCTGAAGTACAAGTTTTTGCTGCTGCAGGTCCTACATCAGGATGAGACACCCCTCCTTTACAGTCTTGTATTTGGAGAAGGAGTTGTAAATGATGCTACATCGGTGGTGCTTTTCAATGCTATTCAAAACTTTGACCTTTCGAGTGTGAATCCCAGTATTGCCCTTCATTTCATTGGCAACTTCTTATATCTGTTCCTTGCTAGCACTTTACTGGGAGCAGCAGTAAGCTTCACTCTCTTTGTGTGCGCGTGTGGGAAAAATGATGTGTCCACGATGCTTTATTTTAATCTTTGATATTGACTTCTACTCAGGCTTTACCCCTCTAGTTGACATCTTATTCTTACTGCAGACTGGTCTTCTTAGTGCTTACATTATCAAGAAGCTGTATTTTGGCAGGTAATGCCTCAATTAAGGGTTTATGGCAGCACATCGTTTCTGGTTCTTATAAAACTGTAAACTGGATCATATAACATGTTTCATTAGAGTTTCTTATTTAGTGAAAATTTGCTTAGTTCCTCTCTAACTTATTGGGATAAAAAACTTCTTGGCCCATATTTCCTTACTTTTTTTCCTTTTCTTATTGCAATAATAGTAATGACTAGTTACTTTTACCGTCTCCAGGCACTCCACAGATCGCGAGGTTGCACTTATGATGCTCATGGCTTACTTATCATACATGTTGGCTGAAGTAAGATCTTAGTTTTAGCTCATTGGCACTTGTATCCAATATACATGTTTCTGGTATTAGTTACTAAATCATTCATCCTTTGCAGCTATTCTATTTGAGTGGGATTCTCACTGTATTTTTCTGTGGTATTGTAATGTCCCATTACACTTGGCACAATGTGACTGAGAGTTCAAGAGTCACTACAAGGTATTTTCCTTTTTTTCTGCCGTGAGGTTTTCAAATTTATTCTGCCTGGGCAGAGTTTTTTGCACTTCTTATTACAACATGGAATAAATATATTTCATCTGCAACCTGCAACCTATTCTGAAGGTCATACCACAGAAGCCTTACAAATACTAAAAGCAATAAGCTGTCTGATTAGCTTTTACAAACAGACAAACTCATTTATGAAGCTTATGCAAACAATCATTTATATATTATCACGTGCCACAATAATAAGCTATTACCTGTGCTTAAGAAGTGACATTTTTGTCCGCATAATTCGAGTTAATGTTATCATTCTATGTTTCTGTAGGTACGCTTTTGCAACTTTGTCATTTCTTGCTGAGACTTTCCTCTTCCTCTATGTCGGTATGGATGCCTTGGATATCGAGAAGTGGAAATTTGTTAGTGATAGGTATGCTGAACGAGGGTAGGATAGATATTAGTATTTTCTCTTACAGTGTTAATGTTCCTCCCTTTTTGACTTATTGTCAAACAGTCAGCAGTCTTTATCTGGTGCTTCTGTTATTTCTTGCAGTCCTGGATTATCTGTTGCAGTAAGTTCGATACTGATGGGACTAATCTTGCTGGGGAGAGCTGCCTTTGTTTTTCCATTATCATTCTTATCCAACTTGATGAAGAAATCCTCTGAGGAAAAAATAACCTTTAGGCAGCAAGTAAGCAGTGGCTTCATCAAATTCTCTCTTATTATCCATTTCATATGGATATGGATTGCTAACTTTGTTTTGTAGGTGATAATATGGTGGGCTGGTTTGATGAGAGGTGCAGTGTCCATGGCTCTGGCATATAATAAGGTAAAATTGCTAAGCCATTATGCTGACTCTTGTGGGAATATCAGCCCTCATATGCACACTTCATGTTCCTTATTTTCACATCCTCATATTCTTTTATGTCATGAATCATTTATCATTTAATCACGCAGTTCACTCGTTTGGGACACACTCAATTGCAAGACAACGCAATAATGATTACCAGCACCATTACCATTGTTCTTTTCAGCACAGTGGTATATACCTCCTGCCTCTGCCTTGACATTCTTTCCTGCTAGAACCTGCTCATACATAATTATTCAACTGTCCATTCATGCATGAAATTCAAAATGGTAAACTTGTTTTTTTTCTTTTCCAGGTATTTGGTTTAATGACAAAACCTCTTATAAGTCTCCTGTTGCCCCCACAGAGGCAGTTAAGTACAGTGTCATCAGATGCAAATAGTCCAAAATCTCTTACAGCTCCACTCCTAGGCAGTCAAGAGGGTTCTGAAGTCGATTTAAATGGTCAAGAACTTCCGCACCCACCTAGTTTGAGGATGCTACTTTCCGCGCCAACCCATAAGGTGCATAGATACTGGCGCAAGTTTGATGATTCATTCATGCGCCCAGTGTTTGGTGGTCGGGGTTTTACACCTGTTGCCCCTGGTTCTCCAACGGAACAGGAACCATGATGATGTGCACGAAAAAAATTATATTGTAAGTTAAAAGTGTGGGCCAAGGGACCTCTGCTGGATCTTAAAACTTAGTGTTGTCCAGATTGCTGACAGCATTATGAGCTTCAACCAGGTCCTCTGCGTTTGATACTGCTGTTGCTTACACTGCTTTAGCAAACTATATATGCATCAAAGTCCGCTCTTTTGGGGTGGAAGGTTAGCAAAGGTGAAATTCTAGCTGACCACGGTGAGCGCGTTTGTAAGTTAATCCTGAAAATGCTTTGGTAGATGGTGATACGTTTGTTCAAGCATGTTGTAAATTTTGACTGCTGAATTATTTCCTGTCTGTTCTTCCTTATGTATAGATTTCTGGTGTTTCATGGTGGTATTACATTCCAAATTTGTAAACATTTTATGAACTTCAGAAAGAAATAATTGTCGGAAAGCAGTAATTTGTGAGTAGTATGGCAGGGAGAGCTTGGTTAGCTTTGTATTTGCATGTGAAATTTGTGTGGGTTACAATCTCTCTATGTTAGAGGTGCGGTATGTAGTTTAACCTCTACGTTGATTTCAATTCCCTAGTTTTATCCTGAGAAAGAGACTAGGACTCTGAATCTACAAAATTTTCAGTGTTTATTCGGCTGGTAAAATTTCATCTTCTAATGTGTGTTTGAATTGGGGGACTAACTCATCTAAAGACATGTTTGGATATTATTTTCTAGTTTCAAGATTGTGAAATTTTTCTAGGTATTCATTAAAAACTTTTTTTGTTAAAATATATTAATTAACTAATTATAACTGGGTAAACTAATACTATATTGAATAAACTTGTATCTTTTACTAAATAATATTTTAATATGAATTAATTAATAATAGATTCAGTGGCAAATTTAATTTTTTTTGACCAACTCATCTGAGTAAATCTAAAAATTAAGGATTTGTTCCATCTAATGTAATAAAACAATGAACATGAGACGTAACAAAATCTTTTGTAACAAATGTTTAATTGATAAATAGAAAATAGGACTGGTCAGATACGATATTATTTTTAAAAAGTTATCCTAATAAAAAAATTCTCATAACAGAATAGGAGAAGCAAATTAGGAGTATGTTTAGGGAATAATCGCTTACATAGTACATACGTGAGTGAGTTAATCGAGAGTTAACGTACATTGATCTGTGTAACCACCTCATTTAAGAGTTTCATAAGCTAAAGTGTACTGTTTAATCAATATTATCATCAACACTGAAACCAATTAGTCTCAGCTTCTTCTACAGCTGCCCGACTGCACTCTTTTTACCTATAAGAATCGATCCTTTATTTTTTTGTGGAAGGATTTTACGGACGAGGTTTGTGGTTTGTTAGAAGAAGAAGAGGATAATCAATATGACAAAATCATTTAAGGGGTAAACGGCATCAAGTGTGGATTCACTCCGAGGTGGCATTATAGTAAAGTAGTGCTAGAGAGGAGAAAGTGAGTAGAATAAATTAAAGGAAGATGAAATTCACCAACTCTCGGATCTCTCTTATTGAATTTGCACACTCTAATCACTGCGAGTACAAACATATAAGTGCTGCAATGGGGAAAAAAATGCTTATCAAAAAAATATTTCCATGATAGAAAAGCCTTTCTGATCTTTCCTGGTAAGTATGTTTCACCAAATGAAAGAAAAAGAAAATGCAAACATTGTTTTTTTTCCCATTGGTATTCATAAGTAATCGCCAAAAACCTCCCGTACGTCCAATGTCGACCCTCCACTACTATCAGTCTATCACATGCACAACAAAATCTTCTTTGCATATAAATGTAAACGCATTCTCACAAAATCCACCAACAAAATCAGCACTATCAGCAAAAGGATATTCCAAAATCAGCACTGTCAGGTCTCTCAGAAAAAAACTGCTGGGATGGTGTAGCTGCCTACATCCCCAAACAACTGCAGCGATGGTGCAGGCTCATGCTATGCGTGAAGACATAGAGCGAGGCAGTGGCGGACCCACGTGGTGGCTAGCGAACCCGATTCACCAAAAAATAATACTGTGTATATGTATAAATTTGGATTAAAGCTGTGTAAATTTTGTATAAATATTTTATTTGAACCCACTTGACAACTACTATTTTACGACTAAAGTTACGTACTTCTAAGATTGAACCCGCTTGCACAAAATCCTGGGTCCGCCACTGGAGCGAGGGGAAGATTATTATATTTTATTCCATCCAAAACAGCATTTACAACACTAGATATACTCCATTACTAGTCAGTACAACAACATATCTGATCCCCAACTTTAGATAGAGCAGATAGGGCTTTATGAAGGAAAAACTGTCTACCAAGATATAGACACAGTAGCCTTCCAGTCATAGCAGCGTATTAAATGCTTCGATCAGTAATGCAAAAGGTAACCGAACACCATGCTAATAAAGGCTACAGTAACTACATACAGGAAAGGAAATCCAACCCGGACTTTTCTTCCGCCTTTTTTACTTGTCAACATGACCTGCAAAGCATATCACCACAAAAAGAACACGAAAACAGGGTTAACTAGGGACACTTCTTATTGAGATCATGCATAGGAGTGTCGTGACAGAAATACAAATTTCTCCCTTCCTCACTCGACTGTGCACATTTTGTAAGACTTAAATGGATTGGACCAATCAAAGGCAAGAACAATTTGCTTGAGCTAAAGCCAAACTAACATGAATTCGGACAAGTTATACAGCATTCTGGCTATTGTTAACCCAACAGAGATTTATTTAAGATAGCATCCCAAAATTTTGAGGACTTCTACTGATGTCATGATCTTAATCTAATAATATTAACAAAAAATTGTATAACCCATATTGCAACAAACGGAATTACCAATTCTCTCTGTAAGCTCTCTCTTTCTTGAGCTGCAAACTTCCTCTCCTCCGTTAGCCTAGAGATGGTGTCTTTGGCCTGCAAGAGGGTAAAAGAGAGTGAGAAACAGCACTACCCCTAACAATTACGGACACTAAAACAAATCAACTCATGCTTGAACAAAATTCCATCTGCGGAACTCTTATCGAATGCTCCAGAAGACTAGAAAAATCATCAGCGGTAAAGGCCTTTAACAAGCAGTTGATTTAGATTCTAGTTTTTACCCTTTTATCCTTGAAACAGAAAAATGACTAGAGAATGCCTCAAATCAAACATAAACCTTTTCATAGGTGGACCAACTTGACCAATAAATCCAAAACTTTTACAAACCAAAACCCTATGCTTAAATGAGGCACACTTAATAAGAAAAACTCATTTTGCCTGAATCCCTTTTGAAATTCCATAAGGTCGATCTTACTCCTGGAAATACTTTGAACCTCGTCATGTACTGGACATCAAATATGATGAAAGTGTTTCTACAAAGTCTGAGCGACGATTATCAAGATTCTGCTAGGAAGAAACCACCCTTCATAATTGCAGGGAGTCTGTTTTCTGTCATAAGTTGATTCCCCAGGGCACGTCTCTTTATGGAATGGAAGTTCTGGGCCATTAAAGTCCTCTTAAAGGAAAAAGAGATAATGGAAAAATTAAGAATAAATCAAAAGCTTCTATGGAACTGTTTCAAAGTTACTAGGTAAATCTATTTTATGTGGATCACAAAGGAATTAAAGGGATCCTGTCATTAAGAGGAAACTTTGCAGAATACAGCACCTAGTCTGATGTTCTAGAGGCCATTAGAGGAAAAGCAGACTCTGGTGCTGAAAACTTTCTGAAATTGTGAGTCAGTCATTTGTTGGAAGTGACTCAGCATATTTTTGTACGTTCCTTACATCCCCTTGCTTGATTGATGTAAGGTACGAACTGATTCTTCTTCATTAATGAGTGGCTTCTTTCTATTTTATTTATTTATTTATTATTTTGGATAAGGAGTGGCTTCTTTTTGAAATGTAAAAATTATATTTACTTCCAAGGCAAATGCTAAAAACCACAAATACTCTCAATTTTCGTTCATGACAGAACAAAGTTGTTCCAAATACAATTGACACAAAAAAAAGTAAAAGAAAAAGAAAGGTAAAAAATTCTGACCTCATTTAATTTCCGTTCAAGTTCACTTATTTTGTACTTCATGCTCTCAACATCCTTGACTAATTCCATCTCTTCTCCATGTTTCCTCGTCTCCAACTGCACATGCTTTTCTTCCATTTGCATGTTGGCATTTTCCTTTTTGAACTCCTTGACATTCTCATCCAGCTGGAGAAAGTAGATAGATATAACATATTACCAGAAAATGTAACTCAAAGTTCATCAAATAGAATAAACATTGGAAAATTCAATCTGAATCAACTGGAACTGTTGAAATTACTGAGAATTAATCTAGCTATAGGTTAGTATATTCTACACTCATACTGTGTGCTTAGATTAATAATATAGAATATTCTTCATAGTTCTGTCAAAATTAGGAATCTCAAGATTAAAGTAATTTTCCTTATTTAGTAACTTTCTTCATTTATGTGCAGTCTAAACTTGTACCAAACTCCTATGTAAGGAGCCTTCTCGTATATTGTTTACAACCAATTTAAGACATATTTGCTTTTTTTAATTTCTATATATTTCAGATGGTTCAGAGCCTCTACAATTGTGGTAGACCTAATTAACAACCATCATCTGGTAGGGGATGTTATGCATCCTGCTTGGCCGCAGTTTTAGAACCAAGCCCCAAATTGACATATATGATAAAACCTACCAATATTCATTGGTATTTTTTATCTATAACCAGTCTTTAAGTTCTGGTTCAGAATAATAACTTACTTCTTGCGGTGGATTTCGATTTGCACGGGGGGTTACTTGATCTCTTGTGAACGAATCTTCGAAAAATCCACCACTGTGGCTGTGTACTCCATTGACATCTCTCTGAAAAAGATTACTATTATTTAGCTAGACGGAATTACATATCAAACCACACGGTCAACAGATTCTGGTTTCTGAACAATACTACTTACTTCTTGCTGTCCACTGATATTTTCGTTGCCACGTACTTCATCTTTTCGCGGTGAATCTTTGTAACTTGGAAGATCAATATGTACACCATTGATTGGTGATAAAACAGGCGAACTGGATGGACTGACAAGGATCACTCTCATCTTATTTTCTTGAACATACTTGCCATCATCTTTGGAAAACTACAATCAAAGCAGTCAGAAATTGCATCAGAATGCAAAAGTCAACAGCGTCTAGTTTAGCCTTGAATGACGGCTACCTAAAATGATAGAATAATCCATCGAGAATATACCATGGCTGATGTAATATCCTCCTCAACAGTCTCCTCTGCCACAACAGTGCTTTGAACTAAGAACTTGTCCTTGCATGCCATATCAGGAGGAGGTGCCTTTTGTGCCTGCATGGTTACTACATAAATAAGATGTGTTAAAGACCTTACAGCGGTGCCTATGATAAATTTATTACTATGGCTAACAGAAACAGTATATCTAGTTAGCAGATCATCGTAATAAGATTTTTCACTCTACTAGGGAGAATTGTCACGTCATTGTATCAGTGATATATACATTGTATATCGTTTCTAAACAAGAAAACTTCTTGCAGAAACAGTCTGTCTTAAAGATGATCAAAGCAGGTATATCACAAGTTACAGGTTGAATTAAACTTGAGCGAAGAGGATACTCTATTCCAAAAATTATGCTCATGCATCATCATCAGTTAACAAACAATATAAGATGCAAAAATAGGTGAATGTTTCAATATACTAGCATGAAGACATAACCTAACCCATACCCATGATTGAAAGCGTTAAAAGGAAACAAAGTAGTCCTAAAATCATATGACGGCAAGTTGTCTCGAAAGACCTATGATCACTCAAAATCAAAATCCATGCTAGAGCAAGAAAGTGACTATCTCTTGGAGCTTTAAGAGACTATTTCCAAAAATGCATGCTTCTTCGAACTAAAGCACACAATTACATAGGAGACAAAAATTACCTAACATACCAATGTAGCTTATAACATCAAAAACATTACCAATTTTGCTATCCAATGTACAACCATTATAGACCTTCATCCAGACAAGTGCTCATATTGAAAAGGTTTAGCTATGCTGAAGTGCAAGCCTATCTCCACAGTACAGTGTACGAAGCAAAGCCATGCAATGAGCTACTTCTTGTACCAAGAATCATAGGCGGACCCAGGATTTGAGTGCGACGGGGGCACCACCGCTTTTAGATATGCAAATTACTAGCGACAAAGTTCGACGTACAACTCTTTGAAAACATAATAATTATGATAACATATCAACAAAATACAAATTCAATTTTGCAGAATATCATTAAGTTGATACTAATATAAAAAAATGTATATATCATCCGCTCATACTTGAACTCGACGCATTAATATGTGAGCTTTGCAAAAATTTAAAATGTTACATGTAAATTCTTATATAGAATGTCCCAATGTAATTCTAGCTAATCAGATATGAGTTAAATGTTTAGGTATCACAAATTAAAGTTGAGAAAGTATATCTTGCTGATGCATAGAAAATCGTAAGCCACTTGCGAATTTTCATATGGAAGAATCACATAGGATACTGTCCAAGTTATTTTATATTTTACAATCTTCAAAAGGTAAACTTTATTAGCCATTGTGTGGATCCAACTGCACTCCCATTCTTGTAAGAACAATATTTACTTTTTTATCATGCTTGGTTCTTTAATTTACCTCTTTCTATTTTCCTCTCAGATAAATAGGAGATAAAGCTTTTAAAGTAAGAAAAAGTTCTAAGCAGAGAGTGAGGGAGGGATTGAAAAAGAATAAAATAAATTTACTATTATGTACTAGTAATAAACTAATTCAGAAAAGATAAAAGAAAAATAAACTAATTGACTAGTATGGGAGTAGTAAGTATCCTTGAATTTTAAAAAAAAAAAAAAAAAAGTAACCAAAAAAAACAGAAAAGAACAAAAAGGTAAGTTGCTGGATGGGTTTCAAACCCAGGTAAATGGGTACGCAAAAGAAATTTCGCAATCCACCAAACCAGTTTATCCATTCGCCTTTTATGTTTGAGGGGGCCAAGGAAAATATATTAGGAGTCCTCAGTGTATATACAAATATATATATTAAATGTATATAGGAATTTTGCCGAGACTAACGGGGTCCCGTGACCCCCAACCCCCAATGTAGGTCCACCTCTGCCAAGAATACTAGTCGAAGAAATTTAATTGATATGCTATACCTTTATCACATTCAAAACTATGCTGCCATCACGAAGAATTCTTCTTACCAGTAAAATCACAGGACGAACTGGGTTTAATAATTCCAGTATTGGGTCGAACACAGTATTTCTTTGGACTAGTAGTCTTGACCTGTTATAAACTCCACAATGATACTAATCAGCCTCTATCTGAATAAATACAATTCCAAAACAGTACTTTGCTGAAAAGAAAAACACCTTACCTTAAAAGCAACATGATTTTGGGACTTATTGATTAGACGAATAGTGCAAGAGCTTTGCTTCTTCGGTTCAACTATAAGGAAAAAGCCAATATAACTAAATATCAGTTCAGTTATGACATCCTTCTCAGAATTTATACAGCAATTCACTAGACCATAACAATACTAACAAATTTAATAAATGCATAAATCAAACCAAAAGCCTCCGCCTCATTTATCAAAAACTCTTGTTAGAATAATTAAATTTGTCTCTTGTCCATACGAAAGCTTCAGTTTGATTAAGTTGTAGCATGATAGCATTATTCAAAGTCATTATTTTTTTCCCCAAACTTATATACATCAGACACAATTAAGCAGCAGTAAGTGGAACATAGAAAAGCGTACATGTGAACTTGAGTTCCCGTGGTACAATTTCCACAAGCTCGAAATTCATGGCTATTTCTTTATCTCAAAATTCAATCGAAAACACACCAACTGTAGCAGATATCACCTCCTGCAAGCAAATGAAACAAAGTAGCTAAAACATTGAGTAATATTTAAATCTACAATATGCACGCATCTTTATTCACCTAAAAGTACCTAAGTACAAGAAGATGCGCAATAAAACTAACTATTACAGCATGTATCCTTGTAAAATCTGATAAATATTGCCAGAATCACACAAATAAATAAATATTAAATACCGATAAATTAGTGATATTCAACAAATTGAAAAAGTTGACCGGCGATTTCATCTCGGAAAGTGCAAGCATGATTAATCACGCTCACGAATCCACGTGGATAATGACACATACATAATATATAAACAATGAAGAAAGAACGACATCGTATTGGAAATCGGAATTGAGAGAGCTTACCGGAGCTTCAAATGGCAAAGGCGACGAAGAGAAGAGAATTTAATAAGACAGAAACGAATGCCCTGTTTTTTGTGAAGATGAAGAAGAAGAAAGGATGTAGAAATTAAAATGGGTTTTTTTGTAGGAATCTTGGAATTGAATAGCGTAAAAGTGCCGTTACTTTCGGTGGTTAAAGCTCCTCATCCTCTTCATCTTCTGATGTATGTATCAAACTATCAATGTGTCACTTCTCTCTCTCTCTCTCTCTCTACAAAAAAAAGTACTATAAACAAAGGATTGCAGAGAGAAAGGAACGTGCATGTATATGTATATTATAATTCGATGAACCCTAGAAAATGAATATATGGATTTTTGTGTGTGTGTGTGTGAGAGAGAGAGAGAGAGAGAGAGAGAGAGAGAGAGAGGGAATTTTTGGTTGTTAGGTGTGATCAGAAGCACAGAATGGGACACAGAGAGAGAGAGAGAGAGAGAGAGTGTACAGGGAAGTGTGTAAATGGGTTCACCGAAAGGATCGGAAGTGGGCCGGTTGGACTGGACCGGCTGTCTCTGTCTATAGATTCTAAACTAGACTATGAAAAAACTCATGTACACCGTCATATTTACGCTAACACCCTATATATATATATATATATATATTTACCATAATAATTTGTTTATAAGTATTTTTATCTTAGTTTATTACTATTTGTGTATTACAAAAGTATGAAGACCTAATGCAAAATTCAAATTCTTTTGCTTTTCGTTAGTGTATTTCATGTTGGATAAACTTAGAATTGCAATTAATATTTAATAATCTATATCTATCTATATTTATCTATCTATCCATCTATACTACTACATATTAAAAGCACGAAAGTCCTTAGTGAAATATCGTTTGCCTTTTTTACCCTTTATAATCTGACTTCATACTGGACAAAATAGACATTTAAATATTTTCCTAATATTTAGGATTTTCTACATAATGAAATATCGAATAACCAAAGTTAATTTTGTCCTAAATATTAGGAAAATAATTATTGCCTAATAACTAAAATTTTGAATTCAAGTTATTCAATTATGATTTTGTTCCTTTAAAACTTGAATTCAAGTACGTATATTTTTATTCAGTAAAAAACGACAATCTAATAGAAAATTAATCCGGGAGAAAGAAACTACAATAAAAAGGAGAACACTTCAAAAAGCTATGTTTCTGATTCAAACACCTATTGAAGTCACAACCGTCCTATTTTTTTTTATATGTATGCTACATCAAATTGGTTGTATGAACTTAAAAACATCATCAAGTGCAAAAATCAACGAAAGCAAATTACCATAGGATTTTGTAAGTTACTATCTAATCCTTATGCCTCTTTTGTATTTTAGATTATGGTGTTCGGAGTTGTTAGAAACTTTGGGATTTCATCGAAGCCAACACCGCAACACATAGTTTTAATATGTTTTTATTTTATTTTATGTTCCTCACTCCTCATAATCTATGTTTTGCAGCTATATATAAATGCCTTTTTTCAATTTACAATATGAAATTTACCAAGACTTTGTTTATTAAAATGGCTTAAAATTACATAGTAGAATGACAATAGCACATAATTGCCAGACATAGTTATATGATATTTAGTCAATTTTATATACTCCTATTTGTTTAGTAGGATCATCACCTTTAAGCACAGTAAATTAAGTTAAGTCTTAATTTCAAAAGTTTTTTCTACTTATATAAATATTTTTGAAACATTGATAAAATGAAGTATGTCAAAATTTCATTTCACGTCATAGTATTTTATAAAGAATAATATAAACTCTACGGACAAAGCAACAAAAGTGTAATTTGTTGAAAACCATGAGGGATTTTGTCCAAGTTGGAAAAATTACATGTAAAAAAGAAAGCTTTTTATTATCTGTTATATTTCTGATTGTGGACAACAAATAATTTTCAAAGAATAAGGTGTTGTTTTAGAAAAGAGGTACAAAAATACAATAAAATTAAGTTTTAAAAAAGAAACCTAGCAATCCGAAAAATTATGTATATAAATTTATTTGCAAGAAGTGGGGGACATATATTCTAATCGAGGGAGGAACCAAAGATTCAAATTTTTACTATCGTTCTTTCTAACTCACTTACTGGTTAGTGCATGTTCTTCTTTTTAGGTATAATATATAATCCCTTGCAAGTGATGTATAATTCTTTTTACGTTCACCAATTGAAGGCTAAAGTAACAATAATATATGCTGGGCACTAATTTTAAGTATACATCGACTACCATAAAAATAAAAAATACAATACAAGACAAATTTACTGATTTTAGCTCATTTTTCCTTTAATTTTTTTTTAAATCCACACAGTTTTTATTTATGTAAACTTTTTAAAGCTTATATTCATTAATATAGGGTTGCACGCTTGTGGGTACTCTAAATCTAGTTTAACTAAAATTGTGATAAGGAGGGCAACACCAATGATTTTGCCTAAAGTAAGTCAAATATTTTATGATAACTAATCATCAAATCTTGTAAGTTAGAACAAAATATTTGGTAATAATGGAAAAAAGAAAATATTTTAATAACAATCTATTAGCCTGACACTTAAGCTAATCTAAATTTTTAATCCATGCAGCTTGCATACTTATGACTTAAAGACATATAGTGATGTATGAAAAGGTCATTAGGTATCTACACCATACCCAAAATGCCAAAAGTAAGAAACTCATCAAAGAAACAACAACGTTAATTCATATTGTTTACGTTGATACTTAGAGGAATAGTAAAATACGAGATAAAATAAATCTAATTATATAAATGTAGTAATGTAAAAAGGGAAAAAGTTATAGTAATACCACAAACCATATCTAAGTAAGGTTTGAGGTGAATGGTGAGTACAAAATGATCTGAACATTATAGTTTGAAGAAAATATAATAATATTGCATTTAATTAAATAGTCTCTTCACATCATGCTACTATAAGAAAAAAATTATTTTCACCTCTAAACAAAGAATACCTCAAATGAAGATACACATACGAAATTGTGGGAGTCCGTAAGCCCCAACTACATTTTTTCTTATAGGTGTTTTGATAGTTCATTCCAACAAGTCTGATCAATGCATATCTTCTTAGGAAATTATGTGCAAACTTGACTAATTAAACTATTTTTCTTTATTAATAAGATCATTGGTTCATGAACTACACAAGATTTATTTTAAATAAAATTTATTTTTATGAATATTGATGTAATCCGTCACGTGCAAATGAAGCACTTTAGAAAAAAATCATAATTAAAATAAGATATAAACTGTTGAGGTTTTATTTTAAGATGTAATATTCTTAAAATGAGGGTGAATGGGAAATGGAGGGAAAATGAAATTTTGAGTAAAATTTTAAGTTTCCCCCTCTTAACAATAAGACATTGTCCCATATTGGAAGTGGAAGACATTTTTGGTGGGTATATATATGATTGCTCTTCTTGTAGCTCTTAAAGAGTTAAGAAGAAAGCAAGCCTCGCGCCGTCGCTCGCTCGCTCGGCTCGGCTACGGCTACGGATACGGATTCGGATTCGGATTTGGATTTGGATTTGGTCTTGGTCAAATGATCGATTGATTGATTAATTTTTTGGACCAAATTTATTTGTTAATAGTAAATATTAACGTAAGATTATCCGTATTTGTAACGGATATTTTCCAATCCGTGTATTGATAATTGGCAGCCGGATAATGGTCTTCCCACCATGAAGTGCTTGCTCCACACACCATGAAGTGCTTGCTCCACAAACACTTAATGCTTGCTCCACCATGAAGGGTGGACGTTTTGGTCTTGCACTCCTTCTTGGTTGCTATATAAATGAGCAGCAATGTTGAAGGAAGATAACAAGAACTCAACAAATTGGCTATACATTGCATTCCTTCCTCTCAGCATTTCCATTCGATTTTCTGAGTATCTCCTCCTTTGTTCTGCATTGTTTTTAAACTTCAAACAAAGCAACTGTAAGTGTGATTTGCTACCGAACTTTGTGTTCGCCGAAACACTGGGGTTTGAAGTACCGCTACACCAGTGTGTAATTCGTTCTATCCTGGGAGGAAATAATCCATTACCTTGGGTACTAGGAGGGGATTAAATTCCTTAAGGAAACACTGTGAATTCAGTGGGCTCGAATTCATTATTATTGTTTCATTANACGGCTACGGATACGGATTCGGATTCGGATTTGGATTTGGATTTGGATTTGGTCAAATGATCGATTGATTGATTAATTTTTTGGACCAAATTTATTTGTTAATAGTAAATATTAACGTAAGATTATCCGTATTTGTAACGGATATTTTCCAATCCGTGTATTGATAATTGGCAGCCGGATAATGGTCTTCCCACCATGAAGTGCTTGCTCCACACACCATGAAGTGCTTGCTCCACAAACACTTAATGCTTGCTCCACCATGAAGGGTGGACGTTTTGGTCTTGCACTCCTTCTTGGTTGCTATATAAATGAGCAGCAATGTTGAAGGAAGAAACAAGAACTCAACATACAATTAGCTATACATTGCATTCCTTCCTCTCAGCATTTCCATTCGATTTTCTGAGTATCTCCTCCTTTGTTCTGCATTGTTTTTTAACTTCAAACAAAGCAACTGTAAGTGTGATTTGCTACCGAACTTTGTGTTCGCCGAAACACTGGGGTTTGAAGTACCGCTACACCAGTGTGTAATTCGTTCTATCCTGGGAGGAAATAATCCATTACCTTGGGTACTAGGAGGGGATTAAATTCCTTAAGGAAACACTGTGAATTCAGTGGGCTCGAATTCATTATTATTGTTTCATTACGTTAACTTATATTTTGCAGAATTAATATTTACAAATACAGGAATATTGACCGGGAATAACATAAACGAGTTTAAAAAATTATAAAGGACTAATAGCATTTGCCGAGTACGCATACCTATGCGATTACTAATGGGATAAATAGGACGACGATACAAGTTTTAGCACTATTATAAAATGAGTAAAATAGGGATAAAGAATTTCTAATTGTTCGAAAATTATCATATATAAATTACATAATAATTAACACAAAATATATATGCAACACACTTGCTCAAGTGCTCGTGAAATATTGAACAATTTTTCTACCCTTCAAATAAATATATTTTCTGTAACACTACTTTTCTATCCTTCAAATAAATGTCTTTCTTGTAACACTAAAATAAACAGGAGGAAATCAGAATTATACAGTGGACCCAAACCCCTGAACATGACCTAATATTTATTATATTAGAACTTTGGGAAATCTTAATTTTGCTGTCTTAATTAATTTGAACTATTAATGATGTTGTACCTTTTAGTTTTCTATTTCTTTTGACACTTTTTCACAAGAGAGGAAGAAGTGTTTACTATCAACTTGTTAGACAAACAAATGAGCGAACCTCAACATCACATTTACTATTTAGAGATTGATGACGCCAAATAATATAAAAAGAAAGAC